CCCTGGCCCCGGTCCCCCGGCCCCATCCCCGGCATTCCCCCAGCCCCGTACCTTGGCGCAGGCCTCGATGTGGTGCTGCACCATGGGCACGCCGGCCACGGGGAAGAGCGGCTTGGGCACCTCGAAGGAGAGCGGCCGGAACCGGGTCCCTGCGGAGCGGGACGGGGAAGGGGGGGGATATGTCGGCGGGGCCCGGTGCCGCCGGGACGCCCCGCGGGCCCGGCCCACTTACCCTTCTGCGGGCCCCCGATGAGGATCACCGCCTTCAGCGGCATGGCGGCCCCCGCTCCCCTCCGCTCCGCTCCGGCAGCACCCCCGCAACCCCGGCCCCGCCGCCGCTCCCGCCGCTTCCGCACACGTCAGCGCGCCACGGCCTCCCAACGTCACCGCGCCGGGCGGCGGCTGCCGGGGACGCCCGCCCGCCCGCCCGCAGTACCATGAGCCGACCGCCAGGGGGCGCCGCAGCCGGCGGGAAATGGAGGGGGCGGGCTGCGCCTGCGCGCGTGCGAGGGGCGAGCAAGGGCGCGCGGTGCGTGCCGGAGGGGCGGGCCTTGCACGTGGGGGTGCAAGGGCGCGCGGGGCAGGGGCAGAGGGCCGGCTGTGCACGCGCGAGAGGGCAGCAGGGCCTGTGTGCCAGGGCGCGGCGGTGCGTGTGCAAGGGACGGGCAGTGCACGTGTGAGTGCAAGGGGTAGGCCGCGCATGTGCCGAGGAGCAGGGGCACGTGTGCAAGGGGCTGGCTGTGCACACGCACGTGCAAAGAGCTGGCTCTGCGTGTGCAAGGGGGCAGCAGAGTGTGCTCCAGGGTCTGGCTGGATGAAGGAAAGGCTGTGGATGGTGTTTATCTGGACTTTAGCAAGGCCTTTGATACATTCTCCCACAGTCTCCTCCTGGGGAAACTGGCTGCCCATGGCTGGGATGGGAATACCCTCTGCTGGGTTAAAAACTGGCTGGAGGGACAGGCCCAGAGAGGGGTGGTGAATGGAGCTAAATCCAGCTGGCGTCCAGTCACGAGTGGTGTCCCACAGGGCTCGGTACTGGGGCCA